AAGTATATTTATTTCCTTTCATTTTAGAATAAATGTCAGGACCATCAGAAATTAAATTTTTTTCAAGTGTATAATTATTCTCATGATCTCGTGATATTTTTCCTTTTAATCGATCATAAAAATAGATATTTTGTCGACCCAATAAAAAATCCTTTTCGGTTGATAATCGTCGTCGGACTTCTTTCAAGCGGTTTAAAAGGATATTACATTCTAATTATCTACTCTGTTAAATTACTAGGTGAGTATGAAGTTTCTTTTGGTTCATTTTAGCATAAGCATGTCGAGGGAATTAGCTATTAAACAATGCATTCTAATTATTACCCTGTGTTAAGCTACCAGGGTGAGTATGAAATTTATTTCTGTAGTAAATATAAAATATGCATATATATTTAACATGTATAAATTTTTATAGAAGTAATTATTATTACTACGTATCAATAACGATAATTGCAGATTACTTTTCTTTTCTCATATCTCGTTGCGTTTAAATTATTTAACACACCTGAATTACTGCGGATCGACGTTATATATAAATTTACTACGTATCATTAACGATAATTGTAGATTACTTTTTTTTTCTCGTTTAAATTATTTAACACTCCCGAATTACTGCGGATCGACGTAGTACAACATTCTATTTGATTTGATTTGTGAAATTGCTTATTCAATTATTTTATTTATAAGTTTTTTTTTCATGGTTATTATGTAAAATGTTTATATGTTATATAAGTTATATGTAGTATTTAAGCTATGTTATCAATTTTTTTAATTAGGTATTATTTTATTATTCAGTTTTTATTGCAATGAGCAATTTGTTTATTTTGTATGATTCGCTTATTCTATTTATTTTGTATAATTTATTATATTGTTTTATTATTTTATTTACTTCGATTACTTTTTTTCCTCATGTCGCGTTACGTTTAAATTATCTGCACGTGCAGAATTGGTCAAATTAATTGGCTGTCATTGATCAGTCGCTGGTAAAATGGTATGATTAAAATATTGTAGTACGTCGAAATAGAATATTTGTCGATTTATTAAAGGATCCGAATTCAACTTCATAATGGATTAAAATTGACTCAAAATTAATTATCATCGAATAATACAAAAAAAAATTTTTTTTGTGTCAAATATATCTTACAGTACCTTTGAAATCTACTTACTAACCGAAGTCGTAAACTTTTATTGCACGAAAAAGATTGACTTCTGCATTAAAGTTTCGCAAGATCCATACTAGTATTAGAACTACAAAAGATTGTTATTGAGCCAGAAAAAAATTTGTTTATGAATCTTGGAACGTTGACAAGTTCTGTTTTCAATTGGTTGGATGTCCTTAAAAATTCTTTAGGCCTTGTAAAATTTCTTAAATTGTTTAATTTTCCACCATAAGGTATAAAAAGCTTCACGAGCAAATTAATATCATAAGTTGACAATATGAAATGTTAATGTAAGAATAAATATATATATAAAAAAAAAAAAAAAACAGCTCAAATGTAAAAGGTATAATTGCATTGCAGCAGTAGCCATCGTCCCAATAACCATGCTTGTAATAATCTAAAACAACTAAAATATATGTTAAACAACTTTCACAAACGGGGTTAACGGACAACTAAGACAGGAAGTCATGTGTGCGTAATAATGATAAGTTACGCTATGGTGTGTAATAGTTGGATGGGTTATATAATGAGAGAAAATGAGGTGATTTAGAAAGAGAACTTTTAGAGCAGTATAGTTGGAACGTATATACTATATATGTTATTTAAATACTGCATGTCTTTATATATTTAATAAAAAAGGAAATGGCGAAGATTCCTATATAGTTGAGCGAAAGACGCCCTATATATACATGATAATTTAGTAAGAGGACAAAAGCGCAAAGTGATAGAAGTGACAGAAGGACAGAAGCGTCGCTAGCGACAAAGGCGAACAATCATGTGAACACATGACCGATTACACTATAATTCCCAAATTTGAGTAAATTTAAAATTTCTAGTTCTAATCTAACATCAAATTTTTATCTTATATAACCTTTTAAGTACTCTTTGGTCCTACCATTACAAAGAAAAAATCTATAAATCTTATTGAGATTTCTAGATTTTTTTTTTCTTTGTAATGTATTGAGAATTCCGAAATTCCAGATTTTCCACTGGTGTCTTCTGTAGTGCACCAATCCTATTTGCACGTGGCATTTGAGTTTGTCCACACACATAGAGTACAATTAAATATGTAATCGTAATGTATTAAATCTATTTAATTAACCAGACTACAAGTTCAGTTTAAATTGAGAGTTAGTTATTAAGCAACAAAACTCTATGGGTATGAAATTCACTTCTATTTATTTAACATCAACGTATCAAGTATTTACCACTTATAAACTAACATATTTACAGTATTATTCATTCATGTGTTAAGTCAAAAGTTTAAGTATATAGCTTTTTTCAAATTTGGGTGTTAGGATTTATTAATAATTACTAATTTCACTTTCGTGTTATCTTACCAGTCCGTAAGTATAAAGTTATTTCTGTTCACTTTGAAATTAGTTGCATATTAGCCACCAAATAATACATCTCTTATTTTTTAATAGTGTAAGTATAAAATCTATTTTTAAAATAAGTATATCGAAGGATTTATTAAATACTGTACAATTATTATCATTTATTCATGTCAAATTGTTAGTGAGTATAACTAAGTTTTTTTTAATTCAAATCTAATAATTTCCCTTTCAAATATTTACACTTGTGTTAAATTAAATTACCAGTGTGAGTATGAAGTTTATTTGTGTTCATTTTAGAAAAGTGTTCTAAGAGGATTAACCACCAATTATTTACTCCTGTATTAAGTTATGTCTGTAAGTATAAAATTATTTCTGTTTATTTTAAAAAACATGTTAAGAGGATTATTACATCTAATTATTTACTCGTGTTAAATTACAAGTGTAAGTATAAAGTTTATTTCTGTTTATTTTAGAAAAGTGTATTAGGAGGATTAATCATTAAATAATATAATCTAATTATTTACTACTGTGTTAATTACTAGTGTGAGTATGAAATTTATTTCTGTTCATTTTAGAATAAAGGCTTAAAAGGATTAACCATTAAATAATACCTCTAATTAATACTGTAGTATCATTAAAAAGTTTGTATATTTTTAATTAATTATATACTTGCATGCGAAATTGCTAGTGAAGTATGAGTTTATTTTATAATAAGCATCTTTTTTTTTATAGTTTATTTAAAGAAATAATTATTAACACTTGCTTAGACAATGAAAAAAAAGAATTTTACAATATTGACTCTTCACTACAGAGAGTTAATATAGCAATAGTAAGTTGTAATATTGTTTATAAAATTGTAAATATAAATTATACCGTATATAGTTTAATGGGTTTTTTATTATCAATAATTGTAGATCTTTAAAAAATGTTAAAACCTGGGTATCAATACATTTAGTTAAATTATAAGTTTTTTTTATGGATATTATGTAAAATTTTTTATGTTATGTTACAGTATATACAGTATATAATAAGTTATATATAGTATTTTAAGCCACTATTATAATTTTTTTTTAAATTAGGTATTGTTTTATTATTCAGGTTTAATCTATTTTATATATTTCATTTATTCTAATTATTTTTGTATAATTTATTATTTTACTGCAATACTTTTTTCTCATATCGCGTTCACATTTAAATTATTTACACGTGCAGAATTGATCAAATCAGTTATGGCTTCATTGATCAAGTCGCTAGTAAATGGTCTGGTTAAAATAGTTTGGCTGCGCAAAGTAACATATATTGTACATCGATATAGAATCTTTGTCAATGATTAAAGGATTCGAATTCAACTTAATAAATGGATTAATCTTGCAGTGCTTTGAAAGTTTACTTGCTAACCGAAGTCGTAAACTTTTATTACATGAAAATATTCTAACTTTTTCATTAAAGTTTCGCAAAATCCCATACCTGATACTAGTTTTAGACTACAAATATTGTTATTGGGCCAGAAAAATATTTGGTTTATGAAATATTGGAACGTTGACAAGTCTTGTTATCGAATTGGTTGTAATAAGTTGAATGTCCTTAAAATTATTAAAATTCTTTAAGGTCTGAACGTTCCTGAATTGTTTAACCTTCCACCATAAGTGTATAAAACGCTTCACAATGTCACAGATATGAAATTTAATTGTGTAAAAAAAATCACCACAAATATAAAAAGGTATGATTTCCTTGTAGAAGTAGCTGTCGTCCCAATATACTGTATAAACATTATTATTTTACTTTGTGTTATATATTACTAAAAGCTGGACCAGATTTTTCTAAATTTCCAGCGGTTCCAATGAGAGACATCACTCTAGATTGCTAACTGCGATATTTATACTATACTCATAATATTTTATGAATTAGACAATCCCTTTCTTCAGTTAATGTAAGTTAAAATTAAACATGATAATTTAGCAAGTTTTTGAAAAAAAAATTGCTTAAGAATATATTTGGTTTACAGTTTTACTTGTAAAATACAATAATGATCATCACATCATAGATTAATTTATCTTATTGTTAAATGTTTTGTAATTATACCTTGGTCACTATATTAAAGATCGCAGGGTACAAATCAGTTATACCCTGGGTACTATGTGTATAAACAGAAATTAAATTTCCGCTTATGCCCAACTAACCAGGATATAATTATTACATACGATCAATTACACCAAAAATTGAATATAATAATCGTTAGGTTTAATCAAGAATGCTACTCTGTTCAAAATAAACATGAACAATGATTAATCGAAAAATTTTGTTCGATCAAATTCTCTACATATCATCGACTTACATACTATCCAGCCAGTGTTAAACAATTGAAACGTATAAGTCCAACTCAAATTACTCGACTTACAGTATAAAGGTGAACAACACTGTGCCCAGCCTAGTGCACATTCCTTATATTATAGATTTAATGATTAAACGTGCTTGCAATCTTTTATTTATATTTTAAATATTTAAATCATTGAAGCATTCTAAATAAATCAGATATCAAGTACAAACTTCCACATAAAACCACAATTCGACTTTGTTCATCGTAACTTGCAAATGTCTGACGCAGCGCTTCACCTAAATTTTCTACAACTTTTGAATTAATCTTTGATTCTAACGAATTTGCATATTCTAAAATAACTTGTGGATCACAACATTTAACCCAAGGCATCCCCTCAACATTCGTAAAACTCACTGCAAACAATGAATCACCATTTCTCATTAATAACTCAAGTATTTTCGAAATATCTTTTCCTTTTGTGGCAGCAAAAATCCAACAAACATTACAAGTCTTTGTAATTTCCTTATTTTGTAATTGTAATTGCTTATCAACATAATTTCTAAGTGCTTTGGCTGCAGATGGATTATGTGCACCATCAACCAATACTTGAGATGTTTTATGATTTTAGAAACATCAACCCATTGTAACCTTCCTGGCCATTGTGCACAAGCTATTCCATCCTTAATATGATCATTTGTTATTATAGAAAATTTAAGTTCAGTCTGTCTCAAAAGATCAATTGCCAAAACTGCTGTGGCAGCATTTTCAAGTTGAAAATCACCTTTAAGTGGAAGAAGAAATTCAAAATGTGGTTTATCCAATAAATCCATTGATGCTAATCCGACCATTTCTGATTTCCATGTCGCAGGTTAACAAAGATTACATGTGAATATCCAATATCCTCAGAACATTTCTTTAATATATTCTCAGCCGCTTGTTCAATTTGTGGAGCGATCACAACTTTACAATCAGTTTTCATAATATCAGCTTTTTCCTTTGATATTGATTCCCAAAAAATTCATGTGGTCCATTCCTATAGAGGTAATAATGCAAATATTAGGAGATTCAAAAACGTTTGTAGCGTCTAATCTTCCACCAAGTCCAACTTCGATGATAGCCAAATCAACTTTTTGAAAGTCAAACCACCAAATTGCTGTAGCAGTTAATAATTCAAAGGAACTTGCACCGATATTGTTATTGGAATTAATAGAATTAATAAGATTATAGGTTTTATTATAATCATCTTTTTGAATCGGTTGACCATTTATCCTTATAGAGTCATGAGGTTCAATTAGGTGGGGAGAATTAAACCTTGCGGTTTTAAATCCTGATTTTATAATTATTTGGTCTATATATGCAGAAACAGACCCTTTACCATTCGTACCAGCTATGTGAATTACAGAGAGTCTTTGATGAGGTTTATCAAGTAAATCAAGAAGAGAATAAATCCTAGTTAGACCCAAGTTAATGTTTGTCGACATAGCGATATAATGTTGATTGCAATTGAAAGAAATCTGAAAATCGGGCTGATTTCCATTACACACGTTTAAACATGTCACCTGTCCAAATATGTCATAGTAAAATGTAGATCAACTTTTAAAGTGTATTTCGTAAAGTTTAGTTTATTGATTGCGAAGTTTCTTCTCTCCGTTGATTTTTTTTTTCTCGGCGACTAAGTCGTTAAGTACTTCAAAAAATAATTTTAGTACTAAAAAAAAAATCATCCACGTATATTATTTTTTTCTGTGAACGGAAAATCTATCCTATGCCCTGTCAATTTCTAGTTGGTTGGCAACTAGTTGATAACAAATCGATTAGTTTGTTTAAATTTTCGATTTGATTTTTCAACAAATTTGGAACACTATGTTGCGATCCGGAGAAATAGACCTGCAGATCTTCTGAATCGCGTGATTTGCACAATAAAAAGACTAAAAAGACGAGAATTTTTTTATCACGTAATGTCCTCAAAAATTACTCAGGTCTTCGTAGGACCGTTTTTCCAACCTACTTCGCTGCTCATAGAGTTCAATGCCTTCAATTACCAAAACCTTATTTGCCACTTTCAAGAACTCTAAAGTCTTGGAATGATTTAAACCAGGAAAATGAACTTTTGAGAAAACAATTAGAAGAATTACATAAATATCAGTATTACGACTTGGGATATGAAGGTCGTAAACGGCATTACAACGTGCCTAAAGATAAAAGATTATGGACGGTTAATAGTGCTATTCGGAATAAAGTGCGTAATGATGTATATTTTGTTGATCTAGAGGAGACGAATGTTCCGCTTCTTGATATGATTCTAAGAGGAGAATTTGTGGCCTTATATGGTGCAAGAGCCTCCGGAAAATCTACACGGGTGTTTCAAGCTATGGAAAATCTGAAAAGCCAAGGCATTGTTTGCATTTAGTAGGTACTATTTAGTAAATTGCATTCAGTATAACTGTTTCTTTTATTTATTTATTTTATTTTTTTCGGAACAGTGTATCTTTTGAAAGTATAAACATGAAAACAGACACATTCTGGTCGGCATTAGGCGTTGAACTACATATTAACGCTCCACGACACTTTAAATTAGATGAAGTCAAATCTGCTGATGATTTTAAGCTAAAGTTTCGGAAAGAACAATGGAATGATAAACAAGTTGTTCTCTTTATTGACGAATTCGATGAATTGTTTAGGGCACATGATGACATTAAATCCTCATTCCTTGGAACAATTCGTGCGATTAAAAACGCAAAGGATTACTATGCTCTTTTGTCTTCGGTAGCCATCGGCACCTTTAGTATTTTACATCTGAGTTCAGACAGAATAACTACGTCTCCATTCAACGTTAGGGATCCATTTAAAAACCCAAATTTCACACTGGAACAAGTGCAGACCGTATATAAGGAGTTTGAGAATGACTCCAAATTGACCATTGATCCGGAGATCATTGAGGATATCTACAATCGGACAAATGGGTATGCGAAGCTGAGGAGAGTTGCATAAAATCAAAACTGAAACTTATTTTTTCATGATTCGGTTATTGACAGGCACGCTTCTCTTGTCTGCCTTTGCGGAAAAACTATCCATTCATATTTAATGCCAAACCTCAATGGAAACAGAAGGCTCGGCTTCTCAACTTGGTTAAACTTTGTTATCGATTCTATGCAGGATACGATAGCTGATTATACCACCTTTAGAAAGATGATTAATTCACTTAAGAAAGAAGCAGCCAGGCCTGCTATAGAATTTCTTCGATCTGTATTCCTAGGATCTTTCAATTTTGTGCCAATCTATAACCCTGAAGAAAAAAGATTAGCAGAGTTCCTGACAGCCGAGGGGGTGCTAATGAGTGATGAAATGAAAAAGAATAATTTTAGAATGTCATCTATTTTTGTAGATGAGCTGATCCGGCGACAAGTTATTCCTGTTTTGTACAAGTCCGCTCCGACATGTGCAGTTCCCAAAAAACTTGATGGCACCCTGGATATTATTATCACTTTGAAGATAGCCGTCCAGCACTTTGATAAAGAAATCATTCGTAGAGCATTTGATCGGTCATTTAAAACTGCACACGTGTATGTGAAAGGTCAAGAAGATGTCCTTGTACCCCGAGAAAGCGTGTATGACACAGAGTTAAACAGGATCCTGATTAATTGGATAGCTAAACAAATTGGCTCCGAGGTCACTGGACAATGGCATATCGTAGAACCTCGTGCTAATCAAAAAGATAAACATACGTATAGTGATATATAGTAATTAAAACTCCGAAACAGACAATTATTCTTGAGCTATTGGCCACTGCAACAAAAAAAGAACTCGATAAACACGTTGTTAAAGTGCTTGATTATGCGGAAAAACTTTCTGCGAATGAGATGTGGATAGTACATTTCACATGTGAGGATTATACAACTCCCTATTGGCCATCCGATAGAAAGTTTGAGAAGATTAATGTTGTGCACTTCTTTCACGACCAGATGCTTAAAAATATACAAATGAATGTCCGATCTGTATCCACCATTGGTACTTTCAATTATCTAGATGACGTTATACTACTACAATAAAAGATAATATATATAGTCTTAATTCTAATGAATAGTAAGTAATATTTGGTATAAAAGTGGAAAAATATCTTTATTATTACTATCAATATGATGATAGATTTTATTATAATTATTACATTGTATTTAGTTGTATAAGCATCCAGAAGGTTTCGCATCTTTATTCTATTTGCTCGATAATGTGAATCAAACAAAAATATATGTAGGGATGATGCTGAAACAAGATAATGCTGAAACATTAACTTATTTTAATATTAAATTTTAAAATTTTTGGGGGATCTTTTTTTTTGTAGTTAAGTTAGGGTCTAGGGTTAGTATTTATAATAATAATGTATAGGTGGATTTTGATAGAGCTTATATTTCTAAATCGAGACCCTACGTTTCATCATCATCTTGTTTCAGCATCATCCCCGACAATATATAAGCTATAGAAGCAATCTCCCTATAGTTTTTAATTACATTTCATTTAGCCATAAGCTCTTAGCAATGTAATGCATATATAATATAATAATAAGCTACTTTATACATGTTTTGTATAGTAGAAGAATATGATTTATTTAAGGAATCATTCTCTTTCACTTCTGAGCAGATTCTCTACATTCAGTTGTATAGCATTTCCACTTTATCTATATTTTTAAGTAAAATGCAAGGAGCTGTGTTTATCTATTCCTGCATGAGAGAAGAATTTCATAAAACATACACATATGTCGATTGGTATACAGTTGAGCTTCGATCCTAATTTTTCAGGACTATCCGGATTGAATTCGGTTTCTCTTTCATGAATCTGGTGTTATGCTCAAGTTTTCAATTTTAGTTAGTGTCATATTATTCTATTGTTATTCTATGTAGTTCTTATTTTAGTATAGTTTGTGGCACGCTGGGTGATTAAAGCTCCAAACGACTGATTAAACCCCCAATCGACTGATTAAATCCCCAATCGACTAATTAAAGCTCCAATCGACTGATTAAAACCCCATACGAATTAAAGGAGGGAGGACAATGATGAATGATTGTTAATGGTTATTAATAGTATTTAGTATTATTGTAATATTCCGATGTATTGATTTATGTTAATAAAGAGAAACTTTAACCTGTAATTATATGTGTTAGTTTATCGATTTAAACCATTTACCCTTAACCACTATTTGTTCACGATCGAAGCTAAATTGG